CACTCTCTGAGAACATCTTACAGTACAGCTGCCTAAAGGAAGCAGGATATGGGAAAGAATATCTAGATTACAGCAAACTGAAGAAAGAAGGTCCAGACTTTTAAATAAAATGTTTCACTATAAAGCTGTTTAGAATGAAGTTCTTCCATAAGTCATCCACACAAGTTTCCACTTAACCATGAAATATGTTCCCTCTTAATGCAGAAAATAACATTGGTGCATTGTGTTGGGGTTTACACTGATTATTAAATATCTGAAACTTGAAAAAATGTAAAGACCTAGACAATAAGCTATCACTAAAGAGTTTTTTTAATATTTCATTTATTTATTTTTAGAGGGAGGGGAAAGGAAGGAGAAAGAGAGGGAGGAAACATCAATGTGTGATTGCCTCTCACGTACTCCCCACTGGGGACCTGGTCCACAACCCAGGTATGTGCCCTGACTGGGAATTGAAGTGGTAGCCCTTTGGTTTGCAGACCAGCACTCAATCCACTGAGCCACACCAGCCAGGGCACTAGAGAGTTTTTTTAAAGGAGTAACAGTATTGGATAGATATTATAGAAAGATAACAATAAGATACATGTAGATGATACTACACCAGGGAAAAGGAGAAATATTTTCCCAGCTTTATTTATTAACATATAACATATGTAAGTTTAAGTTATACAGCAGGGGTGTCAAATTCATCTTCACCGGGGGCCACATCAGCCTCGTAGTTGCCTTCAAAGGGTTGAAAGTAATTTTAGGAGTGTATAAATGTAACTACTCCTTAACTAGGGGCAATCAGCTCAGCATTGTTTCTGGGTAGAAGCAAGGTGCCAGGCTGGATAAAACAAGGTGGAGGGCCAGATTTGGCCCACGGGCCTTCTGTTTATCACCTGTGGTGTACAGCATTATGATTTAAAACACATATATAGTGCAAAATGATTAGTTAATTTCTCCATCCCCTCACAAAATTATATCCTTGTGTGAGTATGTAGTGATAACACTTAAGATTTACCTTCTTACCTTTCAAGTATATAATGCATTATTGTTCATTATAGTCACCATACTGCACATTAGATCCCCAGAACTTATTCATTTCATAACTGGGAGTTTGTACCACCTGACTGGCATTGCCTCCGTTTCTCTCAGTCCCCAGCTCCTGGCAACCATCATTCTACTCTCTATTTCTATGAGTTCAGCTTTTTTAGATCCCACATATAAGTAAGAACATACAGTATCTTGTTGTTCTATCATTTATTTCACTTAACATAATGTCTACAGAGTCCACCCATGCATCCATGTTATCACAAAAACAGGATTTCCTTTTTATGACTGAATAATATTCCATTGCACACACCGCGCGCGCGCGGTCTGTCCAGAAGGTATCCAGCCATGTAATATGAAAAATAGAGACATTTATTGGAGAAGATACAAGATACAAGAAACATTGTACATAGGACAATGGTGCCTCAGTCCCCTTCAAAGTAGGCACCTTGGGACCTCACACAGTTCTCTCAGTCACCATCAGCTGCCCCGTCGCATTTTCCTGAATCTCATCAATAGTCTAAAATCTCTTCCTTTTTAAAGGTGGTTTAGTTTTGGGAAAAGCCAGAAGTCACAGGGCATCAAATCTGTGCTGTAGGAGGGATGACTCACCTGGGTGCCTCATTGTTTCACAAAAAAACTCTTCACAAGATGTAATGCATAAGTGGACATTTCATCATGATGAAGCTGCCAATGATCAGTTGGCCATAGCTGTGGTCTGCTGAATCATCCAAGTAGTTTCCACAGAGAAATGTTCAAACTTAACGCAAAATTTGATGCAGATCCATTGCTGTACTCAGTCATTTTGAAAGTGACAGCCACACAGTGCACATGCTCACTCAATGGCATCTACCTCCCACTGACTAGTACAGTGAAATTGTCATTGTTCAAACATGTGTATTCAAGTCCACTCCCCCTGGCTGCCAGGTTACATTGATGCCATGCAAACTATTCTCGTTATATTAACAATGGCTGCACTTTTTCCAGACCTACCTTGTAAGATTCACATGGTCTAGAACTGTGCTGTCCCATGTGGTATCACAAGAACAGTTGAAATGTGGCTCTTTCTAATGATGATATGCTATAAGTGTAGGATACATACCAAGTTTCAAGATTTAGTATCAAGAAAAGAATGTAACATATCTCATGAAGAGTTTTATAATGATTAGGTGTCAAATTAATAAAATATTCAATATATTGGGTTAAATAATTTATATGATACAATTCATCATATGCTCACTTCAGCAACACATATACTAAAATTTATCTCACCTTTTTTGGTGTGGGTTGATTATTTTTTTAATTTTTGATGTGGTTATTTAAATTGTTTAAGTTATGTATGTGGCTTGCATTACATTTCTACCAGACAGCACTGGCTTAGAATGTTGATAAAGGAAGAACTGCCAACTGAAAAATTAATAACATCAACAACAATCTGCTACAGTAGTGAGCAGTTAGAAAGTAAATCCCAGATATAAGGAATAAAATGTGTCATATTACAATTTTAAAAAGAATTCTTTTGGAAAAGTTATAAAGTAAAACAAAAAAGAAAGCAGCTCCTCTGGATCTACAATCAGTGACAACACAATAGCAGTAAGTACACCCAGAGCCCATCTTTGCTTCTAATATCATTCACTGTGAAGCAAAGACTATACAGGATATATGTGGGACATCTAATATAACATTTCGAAAAGAAGTGTTCAAAAAACACAATAGTGACATGTGAAAGGGGTGCAGAGGTCAACTGAAAGAGCTCCCAGTTGCCAAAGCTGAAACAATTTGAGCAAGAAAATAAATAACATGGTGTTGGTTTATAACCCAAAGTGTAAAATAACTATGAGTCCATACCAATATTAATAAATGACTGAATATCCAAGTAAATGGGAGGAGAATAAACAAATCTCCTATACAAAGAGTTCTGCCCCTCAGCGGGATGAAGAACAATTCCCTACCCCTTAAGTAGAGGCTGCACATAGTCACCTCCTTCCAAAAGGGGGAAAACCTGACAAACACTATTTCAGGCATGTGATGAAGTTTAATGTCACCTGCAATAATCATCAATGGACTATGTATTCCCTTGCAATTACATGATGAGAAGGACACCACCTCTGCAGTCTTCTTCCAAAACACATAACCCCAGTCTAAATATAAGAAAAACTTCAAACTCAAAATTGAAAGATTTCCTACAAAACCAACCAGTACACTACAAAATTGTCAGGGTCAACAAAAATAGGGAAAGTCTGAGAAACCGTCTCAGGGGCCTGAGAAGACACAAATGCTAAACCAAGTTAGTAATAATTTATCAGTATAAGCTAAGTAGTTGTGAGCAATACCAATGTAAGATTTTAACAGGTCAGACCAAAGAGTATGGAGAACTCTCTATACTATCTCTGCAACTTTTCTGTAAACCTAAAACTTCTAAAATAAAAAGTGTATTTTTTAAAAAAGATGCCCTCTGATTTGAAATCTTTCAAATCTCTTGGAATCTTTATTCTCTGGTCCAAGTCCTCTATAACCTAGCTATTCAAAGTGTGGTCACTTTCAATATAGAGTCTCAGGCCCTTCCCAGATGTACCAGTCAGGATTTCCAGAGAAACAGAATCAATAGGATGTGGATTTGTAAAAAGAATTATTATAAGGAATTGACCCATGCAATTATGAAGGTTGCAAACCCAAATCTACATCGTGGGCCAGCAGGGTGAGCACCCAGGAGAGTCCTGGTACAAACATTGTCTGAAAGCTCTCTGCTAGAGAATGGTCCGTGGCTCAGGGAGTTGGCCTTTTTGATCTATTCAGGCCTTTGATTGAATAAAATCTGCCCAAATTAACGAAAGCAAACTGTTTTACCCAGAACTCATGGATTTAAATCCAAAAACACGCTCCAAGTTTACACATAAAATTAATTGTCACACCAGACCTGGTAAATCTGAATCTGCTTTTTAAAAGGATCTGCCAGGTGATTTCAAGCATATTGTAGTTGGGCGGCATTGTTCTACAAAGCTTCTAAAAAGCTGCACTACAGCCCTGGCTGGCGTAGCTCAGTGGATTGGGCACGGGCTGCGAGCCAAAATGTTGCAGGTTTGAATCCCAACCAGGGTACATGCCTGCGTTGCAGGCCATAACCCCCAGCAACCATACATTGATGTTTCTCTCTCTCCCTATCTCCCTCCCTTCCCTCTCTAAAATTAAATAAATAAAATCTTTAAAAAAAAAAAAAAAGCTGGAATGCCTGCCCTCAGAGAGTTTTAAATCTACATGGTAATGTCAATAGCTCAGAAATAAAACTTAATTTGTTGTTTTTACTTGAAAACTTTCCTAACATTTACTTATCTGGAGGCTAAGGGACACCTTCAGAAATCCCAATCCTCCTTGTAGGGCAAGGGTGACCCATTTGTTTCCGCAGAGACCTCACCAATCTTTTGACCTGGTTTATTGGATTACTGCCTTGTGAGTCTTCCCTGGGTACAGTGAACTCCCCAAGGACACCTACCACATTTTTTTCCTTTTTACTTCCATATCTTCATCACCCACAATAACTGATGAACTTCTGAAGCCTCTAGTCAGGAGAGAGGCCCCAGATCTGTCCCACTCCCATCCACCCCGCCCCCACCCCCCACCACAAGCTGGTCCTTTTCCCTAGTTCCTCTTTCTCGGAGTCAGCAAATACCAGGAGAAGCTGTTTCGCGCTTTAGACCTGCGGGGGCATATCACATATATAGCAGAGAATTCGATAGGTTGAATCACGACCCTGCTGATGTTGGGTTATTTTGACCTATAAAACAGGCATTTCATCCGACTCAACCATACTTTCTATTTACTGTTTTCTTTTTCAAAAACTATTTTAGGGACAATATGCGGTCACAGGTAGATAGTACCAGCGTTGCGAACATTCACGGCAATTTACTACTGATAATTGAAAGCCAGATAGACACCATCCACTTTCCAAGTTTGATCCAAACCCTCTCTTTAATTTTGGATGACTCAACTCCCCTTGACCCGCCTCCAGGGTCCCACTCAGCCTGGGTCTCGGAGGGGCAGTCCCTGCGCTCTACACTGGAGCGCAAGAGGCCGAAGCATTGTCCATCAGAACACTCCCCAAGCCGCGCGCCTAGAACCCCCGGAGCGTTAAACTGAAACGCGACCCACTGCCCACCACGCCATAGCTCCCAGAATTCCGCTCTCCCCATTCCAGACTTGCCCACAGCTAAGATGGCGCCGGGGGCGGAGTCCCCGCGGCCGCCTCGGGGCGGGGCCGAGGTGACAGGACACGGTTAAGGGGCGTTGCCAGACTGGGGGCTGCCCCGGGGCTCCGGCTCTCTGGGCCGGGTGCTCCTCTAAATCGTTAGATCTCACGCCAGCTTCCCGGAGGCGTCATGAGATCTCCGGTTCGGGGGCTGCCTCCAAGCGATGGAGATAAGGTCTCAGACAATACACCCCTCCTTCAGGACGCCCCGCAGGCGGAAGTTGGTGAGGAGCCGCGTGATCAGGGGGCTTCGGCGGGGCGGTGGGGTGACCGGAGTACCGGCGCCCTTGGACGGTAGAGCCAGAGCTGCTTAGACCGGTGGTCGTTCAGGCGGAGTAGGGAGCTGAGGAAGGAGAGCCTAAGCGCGAGGGCACTCGAGGAAGGAGAGCTCGGTGAGGGCCCCACTTAGCCTTCGCCGCCCCGGTGCCCAGATGGCGGGCGAGGACCAGAGGCCAGGCCCTGCCGGTGACTGGAATGGGACCTCGGCAAGTGCAGTTCCGCGATGCCTGGGCAGGGAGCTGATGGGTGCCGCTGGCAGTGGGCTCCTGGCTGTTTTCGGTAGTATCAAGTGGGGGATCCCGTGGGAGGACGTCCTGCCGGAGAATCTACAAATCAATGAAACCAGTGAGCAAAGGGCCGGACAGAGTACCCTTCGCCCTTCTAAGAGCGAACTGGGGGAGAAACCTGCAAATCGTCGGGCTGGAATGAGCCGCTAGCTCTTCCTCTCTGTCACCTCAGGGTTTCCGCAGCTGCAGTCCGCCAGCATGTGAACTGGTAGCTCCTTGGGCGAGGATGAGAGACAAAAAAAGACTGAGGTTTACATTTGTGAGTATGCGGGTGGAAATTATTGCATAACGCAGGGAATATCTTGAAATTGTGCGGCAAGAGATTAAAAGTGCTGCGCACTGTTTTCTACGGTCATGCGATTTAAGTTACAAACAGTTACTCTCAAGATACAGCTTAAGTTCTAAAGGTAACTTGCCAAAGGATTTGCAACAAATAGAAAAGTAGGTACTTCACAACACATCCCCTTTGAATTCGGGGGGATTAAAATTTTTTTTCTATTTGATACTTTTGTAATGTTAACTTTTTAAAAAGTTAAACAATCACATAGTTTGTGTGCATACTATAGTTGCAAAGACATGTACATAAGAAACAGTCGAATTAGAAATTTTACTTTTCCTGGCCAAGAGTAGTATAGTTCTGTGACATCATTTTTATTTAACATTACCAGATGGCAGCAGTAGAGGTAGCAATATTGTAGCTCCATCTGGCAGCTGGGAGGTGGTTTTGGTGGACACTCATGTAAATACTGTATCACAGTGACATTTCACTGGGAGTTGGACTTAGTTCCATAAACTAATCTTTTTCTGTGGCATATAGTGTTAGATTTCTGTCATTTTCTTCCATAAAATAGTCTAGTATGGAAATACAGAAACAAATGTCATAATATAGATATTCCCTAGAGACTACTAAAGTTCTGTTGCAGTTTGGGGCAGTATCTATATATAATTTGATATATATATATATAATTTTAGCTAAATATTAAACATCATTAGTTGTCAAGAAAGTGCAGATTAAAACCACAATGAGTCATTACATCCCCACTAGAATGGCTAAATTTAAAAGGCTGAAGATAACAAATGTTGTCAAAGATGTGCAATAACTACTTTGGAAAGTGGCGATTTAAAGTTAAGCATACATTACTATAATATAGCAGCTTTATTTATAATAGTAAAAAACTGGCAACAACCTAGATATCCATCAACAGTGAATGGATGAACCAATAGAAGTATGTCTATACAATAGAATACTACTCAGTAATAAAAAGAAACCTCTGCTACATGTGATAAACAATAACCTTTCAGACTGAAAGTTTTTCTGAAAGAGTTTACTGAGCCATATGCTAGCCAGGAAAAGGGCCAGATTCTGGAACATACAGTCTAAACCATCAGCAACAGGCCTAGATGGAGAGGACAAGCATGTCCTCTGTCCTGGCATTGATGGGACTCATATGCAATGAGTTTTGGGAAGAAAAATGTAAGGTTTTTTTAAGTACATTTTATTGATTTTACTATTACAGGTATCCCCTTTTTTTCTTGCCTTTATTCCCATCCACCCAGTACCCCCATTCCTTTCAGCATTCCCCCTCTCCCTTAGTTTCCATCCATGGGTCATACATATGCTCTGGCCTCTCCATTTCCTATACTATTATTAATCTCCCCATCTATTTTATACCTACCAAGTATGCTTCTTATTCCTTGTACCTTTTTCCATATTCTCCACCTTCCCCATCCCTGCTGATAACCATCCATATGATCTCCATTTCTGTGATTCTGTTCCTATTCTAATTGTTTGCTCAGTGTGTTTTTGGTTTTTTTATGTTCAGTTGTTGATAGTTTGAGTTTGTTGTCATTTTACTGTTCATAGTTTTGATATTCTTCTATTTCTTACATAAGTCCCTTTAACATTTCATATAATAAGGGCTTGGTGATTACGAACTTCTATAACTTGACCTGATCTGAGAAGCACTTTATCTGCCCTTCCATTCTAAATGTAGGTCCTTGCTTTTCATGACGCTGAATAATTCTTTCCAGCCCTTTCTTGCCTACAGATTTCTTTTTAGAAATAAGATGATAATTTTATGGGAAAACTACCTCATTTGTAGGTAACTGTCTCCTTTTCTTTGTCTCCTTTTCTCTTTTTCTGCTTTAAGATTCTCTCCTTATCTTTAATCTTTGGCAATTTAATTATGATGTGTCTTGGTGTGTTCTTCTTTGGGTCCAACTTGTTTGGGACTCTCTGAGCTTCCTGGACTTGTATGTCTGTTTCCTTGACCAGATTAGGGAAGTTTTCCTTCATTATTTGTTCCTTCATCTTGCTCTTCCTCTTCTCCTTCTGGCACCCCTATGATTCAGATGTTGGAATGTTTAAAGTTGTCCCAAAGGTTCCTAAGACTCTCCTCACTTTTTTTGAATTCCTTTTTCTTCATTCTGTTCTGGTTAAAGGTTTATTTCTTCTTTCTGTTCCAAATCATTGCTTTGACTCCCAGTTTCCTTCCCTTCATTGTTGGTTTCCTGTATGTTTTTCTTTATTTGACTATGTATAGCCTTCACGTCTTCCTTTATTTTTCGGCTATGCTGAATCATTTCTGTGAGCACCTGATCTGATAAATTGGCTATCTCTTCATCGCTTAGTTCTATTTTTGGAGTTTTGATTTGTTTTTTCATTTGGGCCATATTTCTTTGTCTTGGTGCACTTGTTACATTGTATGGGGCAGAGCCTTAGGTATTGACCAGGGTGGGGCAACCCATGCCAATGCAATATGGTACTGTATGTGGGGAAGGGGTCAGAGAGGGAACAATGATACTTGCTTGGCTCTTTCCCCACTTTCAGTCACTTCCCCTGCTTCCCACAAGTGTATTGTGCCTTTCTGGTGCTACCCTGGTGCTGATTCCCAGGTGGGTGAGTTTGTGTACATTCTAGGATCCCTTGGACCCCTCCCACAGACTCTCCTATGAAACTGACAGTGTCTCCTATCAACACAACCCCCATAGGTTTTTACAGCCAGAGATTTTGAGACTTTATTTCCTGGCACTGGAATCCCAGATTGCGGGGTCTGTCTCGTGCCCCAGTTATTCCTCCTGGTTTATCCACACACGAATGTGGAACCACCTGATCCGCCAGCCACCAGCCTCACCCTCCCCCAACCCAGCTGCCACCTTGCCATGAGTCCTCTCCACCCAGCTGCCCATCTCCACCCCTCCCAGTCTGGATAAATATTTCTTCTTTAACTCTTGGTTGTCAGAATTCCATACAGTTTGATTTTCTAGCTGTTCAGTTGTTTTTTGTTTTTAAATTGGTTGTTATCCTTCTTTTGGTTGTGCAAGGAAGTGAAGCATATCTACCTACATCTCCATCTTGGCTGGAAGTTCAAAAAAATGTAAGTTGTTTTGAAAGAATTTACGTAGGCTATAGATAAAGGCATGGGAGCTATGAAGCAGGGCTAATTTGGGGATAGGTGTATAGTCCATAAGGAAGAAGTATTTACTGCTCTTGTTTATTGATTTGAGAGAGAGAGAAGCATCCATCCACTGTTCCACTTATTTATGCATTCATTGGTTGATTCTTGTATACGTCCTGACCAGGGGTCAAACCCACAATCTTGGCATATGGGGATGATGCTCTAACCAACTGAGTTACCTGGCCAGGGAATGTTTACTGCTTTTTGGATTGGTTGTGGACAACAGTCCAAAAAATTTATGTATAAGCAGGATGAAGTGTTATCTGATGGTGGTGGACTGTCTCTTTTTAGATAAGAGATGAAATAGCCATCTGGAAGTTGATTCATAGTTTCAACATATATTTAGGAATATGAGAAGTCTCTTGTTGGTTTCTTGCCCTCAATTCTATTAACTGATTAGCCTTCCTTGTCTCCTGCAGCCTAGTGTAATTTAATTTAGGACATCTCAGAATTTTCCCTTGTCACACATAACTACCTGGCCAAATCTCAAAAACACTGAGCAAAAGAAGCCACTATGTTAATGTACAATTCTGTCAGCATGAAATTCTAGAATAAGCAAAACTAATCTGAAATAACAGAAAGCACACCAATGGTTGTCCAGAAACAATAGGCAGGAAGGAATTGACAGCAGAGGTGCTAGGGTACTTCTTGGGGTGATAGAAAAATTCTACATCTTGATTGGGATACACAGATATATATATATATATATACATTCATCAAAATTCACTAAACTGTGAGCTTGAAATGAGTATATTTTATTGTATGTAATTATACCTCAATAGAATTGGTGCAAAAAGAAAAAAACTAACTCATAACATTGCTTTTAGAAACAATCCCAACTTGATTCATGGGTTGATTGTATAGGTCGTAGCCCTGTTCCTCCTAACTGACATGACTGCCTTCATTATAACAATTTTTCATCTTATTTTTATTCTTGACATACCCTCTGGAGAGCAGAAGTGAAGTAAAAATAACAGCAACACCTTTTTTGACTATTTAAAATATGATAAAGGTTTTAGAGGAGAGAAATGTACAGTTTTGGCCATTGCATTGATCAACAATGTTTTAAATTAAGCTCTGTGTCTGAGATGCTGTGAGCAGGAGGATGAAAGAGGAGCACCAGGAGAAAGATGAAAAAGGTAGAGACGAGCATGAGACATTTATAAGAGGCGCCAGGTGTCTCCTTTTACTCTCATCTTC